AAGAGAGAGGACGACGCGCCCATCATCCTCCCAAGGGACCGAGGTAAAAAGGAGATTTTGGCGACGGATGTCACAGGGATCATTTGCCATGGATTCTTCTAGGTGCGAGCTAGCAACACGTCAAGGAGCTTAAGCACTTTGATGTCCCTTTCCCTCATCCAGTTGACTAGCATCACCCCTTGGAGGATTTTGATCACAGACATGCCTTGCAACTAGTTTTTGATTGTACGTTATTTTTCGCTCTCGACAATGTCCTGAAAGCTGCATTCGTAACCTCAAATCTATCTTCCCATTTCATTGAGAAAACATTCTCGAGCAGAAATCCTTTTGGTTTCGTCTTATTCATTACTCTTAGGACATCCACACATTTACAGTACAATTTTCCTCTCCCCGAAGCTCAGACATAGTCAGATCCACATGCATTCTTTCCGGGTCATTCCTCCCGGCCTTTCTCAGGTCCTGCCAATTCGGCATGCATATCATCCTCTGCCCTTTCTTGCCCTTTACTTAATTGACTCTTCATGTGCAATGCTTGGTTCACCCCTTTTCCATTTCTCATCTTTTCAGGCTTATACGAGCCGATTACACAACCAACTCTCAGCCTGCCAGTTCCGGTTCATACCATGTCACTTGCTCAAGTTTTTTCTGCACTGGCGTCTTGCCCAGCCCCCCCTTTCCTCAGGCCTATACAAGTCAATTACAATGTTTTTCTGTTCCGGCCATCTTCACAGGCCCCTTTTTCCCAAGCTCATGCAAAATCAATTACAAGTCTTATTTTCATGCGTATTTATTGGTAGATGGCACACCTTCCCCCCACCCAAAACGCGATGTCCCCATCGCGCAACTAGTTCTCACTCAGAGGTACGCAGAACTTTGGCCCACTAACCGCAAGTCAAGGACACAAGCCCGTCCGCTTCACAAAAGGAGCAGTGATCAGTTCCTCCCCAGCGGACGACGCCTCATCCTTCTACTTGGTCCGACCTTTCTTCTCTTACGTGGCAAGCACCAATACTGGGGTTCCTTCCCACGTCTGCCAAGCGGGTCCAATCCAAGCTTGTCAGGGCCTCGTCTAGCCGTAAGAGCGTTCCTCGCGAATCGTTCCTCCCGAGTGGTGATTTTCTGGATTTCGGCCTCTTTCTTTCAAGAGAGTTGGGGCTCTCGATCAGTCCGCGAGTGCAGTTACGAAGACCTCGCAATTAGTCCCGAAACGGTTGTAATGTTCTGGCAGGGCAGTGTCACTGCTCCGTGGTGGTGGCGGACTCCACGCGGTATCTCGTCGGCCTCTCCCCTTGGACAGTGCCGCCCAACTTAGTGCGGGCAGCCGTGGTCCGACCCAAACGACCATGCCACCCCTCTATGGCATGGCGTGTGGTTGGAGAGTAGCAACATAGACTTAGGTGAGAATGGCTCTCTCGCCCATTTGGCTCTCTCGCCCTTTGACGTTTAGGCATTCACCAGGAGGCGCAGTTTGAACTCCCCGACTAGAGCTCATTGTCGGAGGTGGTTCCAGATGTCCTGCACCGATCCAAGTGGTAGGTGCCTTAGCCCTTTAACCCTCATCCTCTTGAAGAGGAACAGGTCGCGCTGAGACTTTTTCCCTCAAAGGGATAGAGGTGTTGGGGTCGCGGTGCATGCACCGGTATCCCCCTCTTGCTGAGGCCAAAGACTAGAAGAAAAGAGAAATTTCATTTCAAAGCTCTTTCCATGTCCATTTCAAGTTGCCTAGGGTCCCCTGTTTATGCAATGCAATTTCCAATACTCAATCCAAATCCAATGCTCAATCTCATTCCAATGCCCATTGCAATTCCAATGCTCAATGCAACATCTCTTCCCAGGCTGAGTCCAATATTTCTTCCAAGGCTGAGTCCAATATCTCTTCCAATGTCTTTTCCAATGCTCAGCACTTTCCACTATCTTTTCAAAGGCTCAGCTCTTCCAATGTCTTACATCTCAGGCAGCCATGCAAGGGGGCCCGAGTGCCAATTCCAAAGAATGACCCTGGTTAGGGGCCACTTCGAGCAACCTGGTTAGGGTCGTTCTTTCCAATTCCAAGTCGAACAGCCTGGTTAGGGTCATTCTTATCCATTGCAATCGAACAGCCTGGTTAGGACCATCCTTATCCATTTCAATTGGACAGCCTGGTTGGGGTCATCCTTGTTTGTTTCAATCGAACAACCTGGTTAGGGTCATTCCTGTCCATTGCAATGTTAGCGCCCGAGGGGGTGGGCCTCGAGGACACGAATCCTATCTCGTCTCGGGGGTTAGAAGGCGGACATCGTCTTTGGTTTTTACGCATGCTTCTTCCTTTTCCCTCATGCCATTCGCCAATCTTACATCCATCCATACATCCGACTTAGCGTCTAATGCTCGAGTTGGAGATCACATCCCAAGCAGCACTAGCCCACCCGACCGTTCAACCATTACAAGGGGTGCTGACTTCTTTCCATGTTTTCTCTTTCTCTAGACTCACATGCATTTTGCTGTTCTGGAGCGACGTGGAGCCGGTTGGATTAGGCTCCTAGGGAAGAGGGTCCTTCATGCCTCTTTACCTATAGGTCCCCTAACCTCTCACAAGGACTTGTGCAACGACTCACTCAATCATGGACACAGAAATAAAAGGAAAAACTCTCGTCATTAACGTTTCTTCCAATATCCAGGAGTTTACATGTCCTTGTCCATGACCTTAAGACAACATCGATCATCCCCAGTCTCTTTCTTACTATCAAAAAAAAAACTCATATTTCGTGGAAGGAGCGAGTACTCATACAAAGTAGCACTGGTCAGCCCCTCCCCCCTACTAGTTTCCCCAATCCATAGAGTAGTTTCGTTGCAGTCCTTCCCAAAAAAAAAAAAAAAGGAGACAAAGTTTGAATGCAACGACAACATTACAGACTCGTCTCATCTGGGTCCCCCTTGTTTTCCCCTTGCTTGCCCTTAGCCAACGCAACCAGTCACGGTTCTATATCTAAGTGCACTGATCCTTATGTGCTTTTCCTGAAGAAGCAACGACTCATACGAAGTAGCCCCCATTGCCCAGTCCTTAGTCAAAAGTTGCCCCATCTCAATCCATTTAACAGAATTGAAGTGCGAAACTCAAAACGGTCGTTGTACCTGCCCAGGTACCAATCCTCCCCCAGTTTCCAGCTATTCCTATCATGCCTGCTATCCCCTTTTTGCCCCGGTGCCTTGCGCCGAGCCTCCCTCCTTGCACGGTCCTCCATCTCTTGCTCCATTAGCCTCTTTATCGCCTGTAGATGAAGAAGCGTTTGTTCTGAAAAGAAGGTTGTTGGGGATATGTCTTCTCCCCTGGTCAACTTTTCCTTGCCCTTCATTGCCCACTGATAACGCAAAACACTGGACCATTGATCGAACCAATCGCTGAAAGTCGGCCCAAATTCTCTTTTCCATGGGTCCTTTTCTTCCCCTGGGTCCTCCTCTCTTCCCCGATCTTCCCTTGTAGGCATTGTCACTTCATCTTCTTCCTCTTCGCTGGTGAGGTCAATGAACTCAACTGGCTCATTCTCCCCCGGCCGTTGTCCCTCCTCTGGGTTCCCCTCTTCCTTGCTGCTAGGATCACTGTCTGAAGGCAGCTCTATTGACTCCCCTTCCTTTAGTGGTGACGGCCCTCTGGTACCTTGTTTCCTGCCCCCTCTGTTTACCACCAGGTTGTGGTCAAACCCCACATATAGCTTCCTCTTCCTGGAGCTTGATTCCCCAACCTGCCTTGATGACTGTCCCTCAGTAGGCCTATTGATAGCGTTGCTGTCATTTTCATTTTCGAATTTCATTTTGCCGTTTGTTGTTTGCTCCTCGCCTGGTCCTGTTTATGCATAATAATCACCACAACCCCTCATACACACGCATTCCCTTCCACTCCCATTTGCGGCTTTGGAGATTTCCGTAGAACTCTTGCTTGCCCCTATATAGTTGGTAACCCCATTATCCCTTAGAACCCTCGACACATTGTCCCAACACATAGGTGTCCCATGTAGGCAGTCCACAGCATCCCCCCACAAAAACTATGGTACATTGTCCCAGCACATAGCTACCTCGTGTAGACAGTCCTCATTCGGTTATCCGTCACATGATCGACTACTTCCTCGAGTGCTTCCTCATTTCTGGCGACCTGCTGATAACGTGCGGTGATTAATTCTTTCGTGCTCAAGTGTGGGTCGTCATCTAGCCTGTTCCAGGTAGAGACCAAAACTTCTATCGGAAAATCGATCTCCCTTCCATACCAGAGTTCTGTTGGAATACATCCCGTTGTTCTTTTTGGAGTCATGTTCTTAGCGAAGACTGGCTGCTTGAGAAACCGTGGCCAACTTCCCAAATTATCTGCTGCCAACTTTGCGATTGTGTTCTTCAAAGTCTGGTGACCCCTTTCTACCGGTGCATTTGCCTCAGGATGGTAGGGCTCGGTGATCTTGATCGGTACACACAGTGTCTTAAGCCTGTTCAACACCTCCTGGTTAACGAATTATGTCCCATTGTCTGCTATAAACCTGCACACGAAGGGGTGCCTTAGGTAGAAATCTTCCACCCAGTCGGCCACTGCTTTCCCCGTCTTCTTCTTGAGGGCTACGGCTTTTACATAACCACTGAGATTATCCCTTGCATCCAAGATGTATCTAAACCCATCCGTTGATACGGGCATAACGACAAGATCGAGGTGAACAAGGTGTCTGGGTCCCAGTACCCGGGTGGGTCTAAGGGGTTCGTAAACCCGTACGGAGCTCCTCTCTTGACATATCAGACACGTCTGACAGTACGCTGCGACTATGCCTGCCATTCCTGGCCAGAAATACAGGGGCACAATCTTTACAAGTGTCCCCTTTGACGACCGGTGACCCCTAGCTAGCCCATCATGCATTGCCTGAATTACATCCAGCTGCCTCGATCTCCCACAAACGACGCGTCTGGGCATCATCCCTTCCTCTCTCTTGAACAGGTGGCCATTTCTTAGGACATACTTTTCTACTTCCTCCCTTGCCTTGGGACTGACTTCCGTGGGTTGTTTGTTCCCTACAAGCAACAGACCGATTTCCTTGAAGACGCCCTCATACATTCGTATAAGGAAGAATTCCTGTTCGTTCTGATCCGCACCCTACTCCTCTCGAGTGAGGTTGACTAGGTACTGACACTCCTTCTGCGCCCAGGTTTCGGCCAACGTCATTACGGCGTCCCGTCCCCCTTCCACAACCATTGCCATCAATTCCTCTCTGGCCCCTACTTCTGCTCCCCACGAGTCTTTTTCCTCTTTACCCCTGACCGTGGTGACTGGTCCTCCCCTGAGTTCTGCAACTACTGCAGATGCGCCCTTTTCCAAGGTCTGAATCAGCAACTGTCTTGTTGTTATTGTCGGATCTGCGATCTCATTATCCACGACAAGGGTCCCTCCTTCGTACTCCAGGAAGGCGTCAATTGGTTCTGAGTCCTCTACTCCTTCTGGCGTGATGCAAACCCTGCTCAGCCCATCTGCCCTATTTCGAAGCCCTGCAATTCGCTCGACCTTATAGTCGAATTGCCATATGAAACCTATCCATCTGCCAACGGTCGGGTCTATGGGCTTGTAGTTCTTTAGGGTCCGGACAACGTTGGTGGCATCGATCCTTAGGATAAATTGCCTCCCGAACAGGTATGCCTGGAAGGTCTTAAGATAATGCATGATTGCTAAGACCTCCTTCTTGAACTGCAAATACCGTCGTTCTGCTGAATTCAGGGTCCTACTTTCAAATCTGATTGGTCTTTCTTTGCCCTCCTCGCTTCTCTGTATCAATACTCCTCCCACTGCCAATGGTCCCCCCTCTGTTTCTAAGATGAAGGGTCGTCCTACCTCGTGATTGAAACAGGGTGCTGCTAACGTGACCTGATCGGATGACAGGATGTCTTTCAGGGTCTGGGTTGCCTCTTCCCTATCCTCGGTCCAATCCATCGTGCCACCTTCCCTAATCATCGCGCGGATGGGTTCTGCTATCTTTGTGAAACCTTTGATGAAGATCCTCCTGAATCCAACCACCCCTAGGAAGGCTCGTACTTCCATCGTGGTACGTAGGGGTGTCGGCCACTGAGAGATCTTATCAGTCTTTGTTGGATCGGGTCTCCTCCCATAAGCTCCACAGGGAAATCCCAGTATGGTTACTTCCGGGATGGCCAGGATGCTCTTGGGTCCGCTTGCAGTAATGTTGTAGACTAGGAATCGCTGGAGTAAGTCCTTAATATCCTGCAAGTGGTCCCAGACGAATTTCCGCACTCCCGGTTGTACTTCCGTCTCATCCTTGTATCTTGCGTCTTTCACGGGATTATCATCTATGTAAGGTTCACACTTTTTCGGAAACATATCCCCTGCGACGGCGAGCATCCTCCTCTGCGCTTATGCTACTGCATTTGTAAAACCCATAGGGGTCACTTGCATCTGCAGCTGCCCTACGGGGGTGTGCAGTGCGGTGTACGGTCTATCCCTCGCATCGAGTGACAGCTGGTCATATCCTGAGTACAGATCTATCAGGGAGTAAATGCTCCGCCCCGCATGAGATTCTGCCAATAAGTCGGCCTGTGGAAGCGAGCCTGCATCCCTAATTGTTACCGCATTGAGCTTCTGCAGGTCCTGGATCCACCTGAGTGTCTTATTGGGCTTCCTGAACACGAACCACTTGTTCGCGTAGGGGGATGCGGTGGGTTCAACCACGAAAAAATCTATTTTGACTCTTAGCAGGTCGGTGACCTCCGCTGCTATCCCAAACTCATAAGCGGACTCTTTATCAATCCAACACTCGTGTTGCACGGTGTGGATCCTGACAGTGGGAACTAACTTTGCGTCCAATCGTCCTTTCTGATGATCGTTGAAGGCGAAAGCTGAATAAAAATCCTAACACACTTTTCTTATGAACTGAGTTTTTTCCGCTGTTAGAAACCCTTCCACTCCTATTTTCATGGTATTTGCTACCTCATCTGGTATCCGATGCCCTTCCGTTGCTCGCCTCTCCCTTATTACCCGCAAGATTTCCTCCTCTTTCTCCATGGCCTCTTCCTTTGACGTTTCTACTAGGATCGAGACCGGCTTGGCCTTCTTGACTACGGGTTTATACTTTCGCACACTACCTTCGGGGATCGTTCTCCTAAAAAATGAACGGTCGGGATCGGCCTTGCTACCTCCAAGACGCGGGGCTGGATGCTGACTAGCTTCCCATTCAAACAGTAGCCCTTTCGAACCCCATCCTCAAATTTAGCAAGCACGGCGAGGTCCACCCCCACTTTGTGATACCTGATGACCTTAAGGAGTTGTAATAAATTTGGGATTTCAAGCACTACCTCCGACGTTTCGTTCCGATCTTCCTTTGGTTTGGGCAGGCTGGCCCCAAGTTCGACTTCCGATTCTTTTTCTGCCACCATAACTTCCAGGGACTCGTCCTCTGGCCTCCTCTTCTTTACGGGCAAGCCCATCTTGATCCATTCCTTTTTACTAAAAGCCTCCTCAATCATAATTTCTACCCTTTCCCTCATACCTTCCATTCGTGCGAATGCCCCCTTCCGTGCACTTTCTTCGAATGTTGGCGACCAGGTTGCCAATTTGCCCTTCGGAGGTCCCCTCCAGTTCCGAGGAGTCGGAGGAGTTCCCCGCGACCAGTCACCGGATCCTCTATGTCTACCATGTACGTGCCGTCATGCAAGTGCATGCCAATCATCTACATTGGCGCACCATGGTCTTCCAAGGATTATGTCATGGTCCATTTCTTCCATGACGGTCATCCGTTGGAAGGACCAGATGGATTCCCGGACTCCTGCCCTGACCGCGCATTCGGTGACGTACCCAGTGAAGGGGATTTTTCCGCCCGCTCCCCTGATACTCTATGCTACTTCCTTGTTTACTGTGTACCCGATAATTGTTGCGAAATCCCGTCGTATGAGGGTAATTTTCGCGCCGCCATCCACTAATGCATCGGTGTGGTGAGTTCCGATCTGGATTTTAAGCTTTCCTACGGGCAGTGCGTGAAAGCTAAGTTTAGTGTCAGGCGGTGCTCTTATGACTTCACCACCTTTTCGGTCCTGTAGGTTCAGACGAATATCAGCAAAGGCTTTTTCTAAATCTTCCACGCCCCCTGGAATGCTTTGGAGGTTAGAGACTCCTTGTGGCACCTCGGCCTCCTCGGTTCCCTGTTCCTGTGGTTCCAGAGCCTCCTCTACTTCTACACGTTTACGCGTCAATAGCTGTCTGAGGCCCTTGAGCAGTCTCGGGCTTGCCTGCAGCATGGTCTGAAAGGATACCGACACCATGGTGCCCAGGAGTTTGCTCAGTGTGTCATCTAGTTCCGGCAGCATCAGAATCGGGATCTGGTATCTGAACTTCTTTTTTGCTGCCGTGGCTTTATCTACCGGTTCCTCCCCCCTCGGCTTCCCATAGACCTTCTCTTGATCCCCGGCTTCGGTCTCTTGCTGGCCCGTACTAGTCCCCGCGAGTTCTTCCATTACTGTATCTTGAACAAGCTTCTTTTCTGCGCCGGCCCCGCGAGTGGTGATGTTTACCCTATCCTGGTCATTGTCTTCTATGATAAAATTGGTCTGTGGTCCCCGTCCCCTTGGCTGGTCCCAGACAATCTCGGCTATCGGCTGTGCTTCTACGGCAGCTATTTCTAGGTTATTCAGGAGAATGACGGTTCGCCGCATCCCTCCTGGCGAGTTCCAATTGACACACTCCCCCCGGGGTCCGAGGATCTCGCCTTTGAGGGACCTACTGCACCTTTGTCGCTCAATATCGTAATTGAGTCTCGGACAGGCCCATACGAAATGCCCGATCATGGTGCAATACTTGCATTGTTCGTTGGCCGGGTCCCTTCTTCCAAATCCCCGATTTGCTACAGTTGCTGGAACCACGGCCTCTTGGGGCGGGAGCGCAGGTCTGGACACTTGCGCCTGCATTACAAACAACGCATTTTCCATTATGTCCATCTTGCTGTCAACCCCGTGCACCCGTTCGTGCAGGCTCTCCATCCCCTTCTTGACCTTATCCCCCGTCTTCCCGGTCAGATCTATGACCTCCCCTTCCTTAAGTAGGGCTAGCGTCTCGGTAATCACTGTATTTTCCGCAAGGTCTGTTACGGTGCTGAAGTCCACATCTCTTGTGTATTCGAACTTACTGGTCTGCTGGTATGCTGACAAAATCTTATCCTTATCAAACTCGGAGAACCGCCTAAGGAAGTATTTACTCATTATGCGGTCCGTTACCCCGGAAATTCGCAGAGCCACTAACGTGAACGCCCTTAGGAAATCGTTGTAAGTCGCATAGTTTTTCCTCTGGACTGCGGCCAATTCGGCCTCTGTTGCCATTGTCTCTGCCTTCAGGTATTTCCTCATCATCTCATTCCTGGTTTCTTTCCAGGATCCACTGGAGGCGACGATGGCCATAATGTCCCTTCCTAAGCTTAGCAATACGTGCTGTCCTAGGTGCTCCATTTTTTCCTCTTCCGTCCATTTCAGTAAGGCTGCTAGGTTCTCATAGTCTCTTAGAAACTCTGTAATGTTGGCCCCATCGAATGCGAGTTTCTTCTTTGCATCTGCGAGATATCCCTGGTTCTTGTTTAGTGTCCTGTTGAGGGTGGCGACTACCCTCTTGAGACCATCTTCGGAGGCACCCGCTTCTCCGGCTGCACTGGTCTTTTTCCCTTCCTTGCTTTCCCTTCGCTTCTCCCTGGTTTTGGGCATTCCTTCTGGGTCAAACCATCCTAGCACTCTTTCCCTAAGGCTCCAGAGTCCGTCACACGCCCCTGTTACTTTCGGCGTGGCGGGCAGTCTGCTAGTTCCGCTGTCGATGGCGGACGGTGTCATAGCGTTTTCCGCCCCTTCTACCGGAGGGTCGTCCTTGTCCTTCCCCTTCTTGCTAGGTGTTCCCGTGTGAGTATTATCCTTTCCTTCATATCTGGCCTCGTCCTGAGTGGTCCTTTGCCCCTCTCGTGACCCTACGCCCTTGGGGTCCTCCTCATCCCCGGCCATCATCTGCTCGATGAGCCTTGCCTTAAATTCTGCAGTCCGCTTTCTTATCTCTGCCAGTTTGCGACCGGTATCCGCGCTATCGGTTCGGACGGAGCTCCAACCACTGCCCCTCTTTTGCTAATGGCTGCCTACTTATCTTAGTACCCATCCTTTATTTCCCTACCTCTTTCTGGCGTGTTTTCTCATGCTGGTCCCTCAGGCCTGTCCTGCTCATCCGGTTCCTCGAACAGGTCAGCTTACCCAGCAAGGTAATTTTTCCCCATCTCTATTTCCTTGATAATTATTGGCTCATATTCTTTAAACGACAGGTGGGGCAATCCGAATATCGATATCTCGAGTAATTCGAGTAGTTCCCAGGCCTGATTCCCCCAGAACGGCCCATGTCTAACCGACACATCGTAGAACATGCTCGTAGTTTGTGGCCGGAAGAGGTGGAACCAGACCAAGGTCGAGTCCACCAGGTCCCTAGCTCTCTTGAGGCTACTGAATACCAAGTCCACCAGGAAACGAGGGACTCGACACCTCAACCCGGTCATTGAGGCCTGAAACTCTCGCCACTCTCCGACCTCCACCCGAGTTCTTAATCCCACGTTTCTTCTCCCCCGCACTTCCTGGCCCACCCTGTTCAACACCCTAGTAGTCCTCTGGAAGATTGGTAGCGATCCGTGACCTAGTGCCAATTCCGTTCCTAGCATGTACCATCCAAGTTTCGGCAGGTACACGGTCCCCGTTACCCTAAGGTCGGTGTACAGATCGTCTCCCGGTCCCCTGTTAATCCTCATACCATCCCACAAACATTCCACCATCATAAACATTTGTCCTCTTCCCAGGGTCACTGCCCTCCATTCGATGTCCAATCCTTGGATCATGTAGCTTGCTGGGAGCGATACCTCCCATCCACCTCCACTTTCTGTGGGTGGCCGCGGGTGTGTGGATCGTCGCAGCATCCGGGCGCGTCTCATCGCCATTTTTCTACTTAGTAGTCCCCTGTACAGTTTAAACAGCAAGCGGTTTCACTTATTTCATTTAATCTTCAGCTCCCGCCCGAACACTCCCAGGTTTCTAGCTTGAACCTTCCTTTTCTTTCCTTGACCTCTTTAATTAGTCCGTCCCTACGTCCATCGGCTCATACAATCGATACATATCATCCACGTACACCATCCCTTGACTTATTTCCCGTCGGATGACACCCCACAAGACCTCGCTTCCCACGATCGGAGCCCTCGGCCTGGTGCTAAACACAGCACGCAGGATGCGCAACACCTCATACTTCTGCTCCCCACTGAACGGGCCCATTTCTAGGAAGGTCCGATAGTATTCTCGATGTACCATCGCATCTTCATATGTCAGGCTTGCTAGGTCGGCTACCGCTCGTCTAACAAGTCCTTGACCGCCCAGCCTTTCCAACAGGAAGGCCGGTAGCCTCATTCGTACATTTTCACTAGGCAATTCGAAACTCCCGACCATGGCTACCCTAAGGTCTGTTGTTACATCGTCAACCCCCAGATCTGCGAACTGAAATCCCGCTCGCCATACTAACTGTCATGCCCCTTCAAACATGCTCAACGGGTCTTCTCCTGATGCCAGCCGAACTATGAACTCCCTCCACCCATCCTCTGACACATACAGTCGTCCTTCTGCACGCACATGCCCCCGCGGGGCCGGGTTCCATTCCCCATTCTCATCCGCACGCCATTCAATTTTCGTCACCAAGTAAACCATATTTTTCGCAAGCTTGACCCCGACCCAATCTGCCACCTAGTGCCAACCTTCACTTGCCGCCGGCAGGCTAACCTCTATCCCGCCCGGTACCTCCCTAGGTGGTTCAATGCCCAAGGGGCGTTCCTCGAGGAACGTCCTTCTTCGCGCCATCACGCACTCGCCTTCGATCTTCTGACTCACAATCCACACTGAACCCTACAATGGCCAGACATCCCATTCCCTTATCTTAGCAATTTTTCCCATATTTGCCTGGCCCCACGGCCTCCCTGCGCTTAGTCGAACCACAGTACTTCAAACAGTTGAACACATCATCCACATAGCCAGGTGTTGCAGCTACCTCACAGCGGATTATAGCCTCCCTAGTTTCCGGGGCCACCTCCTGCCGGTCATTCCTTTCGATATCCAAACTGATAAGGACCTCCCGGGCTCTATCACCATGGAAGGGCTCGTATTTCAAGGATGTCCTATAGAATTCCTCTGCTAGCCACGCACAATTCACGTGTATTCGCTCCATCGTGTCGGCTACCTCTGTTACGTGATCAAAACCCCCAAACCAGTCCGCCACGAACTCAGGCACCCAGGTCTTGATTCGAGCGCCAGGTGGTTTAAATTCCTTCCATCCTCCCTTGTTAGCAAACCTTTCCCCCGCCTGTCGAGCCCTTGCCTCGGCGTCCCCTAAAAGCCACAACGGGTTCTGTCCTGCCGCGAGCATTGTGCAGACCAGGTGCCAACCTTGTTCAGAGAGAACGATCATCCCGACTGATTCCACCCTTCCTTCCACAATCTCTTCTCATCCTTCCTCTTCCCTCAACGGGTTCCAGACACTCTCTATCCATAGGTACGACAGCTCCGACACAATCTCATATCCCCGCCAATCACATGTGGTCCCCTTCCACTCATTGCTTGGCGATACTGACATCTCTACTCCCCTTCCAACTCGTCTTGGTTCCCATGTGCAGCCCCATAATTCGAGTTATCGGGCCATCGCTCCCTACCTGCACATAGTCGATAACCCGTTTCCCCCAGGTAAGCCCCCCTTTCAGAAGTCCCAGTCCTCTATTTCGTCCCCATCCTCCTCATCACTGAAACTCTCCTCCTCGTCTAAGAACATCTCTTTCACCCCTTCCAAGAAGGTCTCCCCCGCTGCCACGTTTCGGTAAACTATCTGCCAATGCACCGGACTAGGAACAAAAACTTCGTCCGCGCTGAGGAGGTTTAACACCTCAGCTAATTCCTCTGCCCAGTTTTCTTCAAACGGCCCCGCTTCCACCGATAGTCTAAAGAAGTCTTGTCTAGCACACTGCTACAGCCTCAGACGTGTCATTGATTGACATATACGTTCCAGTCTATCCCCGGTCCCAAAGACTGCATCCACCAGAAACGGGGGCAGCACGCACCTCATTGTCCTGAGAGGTCGTCTCATTTTTTTCCGGTCCCCGAGTTCCACCCGCACCTCCATCCTTTCCATCTCCATTTCTGCCCGCCGACACGCTGCCCATACCACTTCCCGTTCCGCTTGCCTAAACAGTTGATCCGGTGTCGTGCCCAATACTAGTCCCACTACTATTGCATTTTCCAATTCCTGTGATAGGTAGACCCATCCTCGAGCTTCCACTGTTCCCCGGAATTCTAGGTCCATCAGGCTAGGTGAAAGTCTCGTCAGGCTGACCTTAGTCCAGATTGTCTATATGAAGAGGAACGCGCCCTTCTCGTCCAGCATCACAGTTTCATAGGCTGGCTCCAGGTCGGTCTACGTCCCTTCTTCCGGGAGAACAACAGACACCCCATCCCTTACGTCTATAGGCATTTCCGGGCCACTAGTGTAGACAGGAGGCGACAACCATCGCGCCATCTTGTTTCCCGGCGCTGGTCCTGCCTTCACATGAGAGCACCACACGGCCCCTCATGGTCAGACGGTTTTCTTTACATTTCTAGATGAGGGTTGTTTTCAGACCCCTCATCCGGGTCTCCCTAACTTTTCTTATCCATTTCCCACGTGCCATTACCCTACCATACCCCCAATCGATCACCAGTGGCTCGCATTCCTTTTTCTTGGTTCCGCTTTCTTCTGACTCCTATCCAGCCTCTTCCTCATGCTCTCTCACTCGTGCGGACTTAGACTTGGAGGTGAGAATAGACTTAGAAGCTCGGTCCCCATCCAACATTCATCAGGCAACTTTACAGAGGGAGGCGCAAAAAGCAAGACTCAGGCAAACGTCACACACAGGTCGGTCATCTCCTCACCGACCTTTTATCCGATACCTCAAGCGCAGCTCAACCGTCGTGAGCACGGTACCCAGGTCTCGGCAAGGCATTCGCCCTTTCCTCCTTACCCACAATACCCCATCCCGACTTGCCGGTCGTGTACCCACCGTTAATCTCGGGAATCACCCCTCACATCTCGGTAGGGCCATTGGAGCCAGCCATCCAGGCACTCACTTCCATTGGTCCGATAAGGAACAGCCTTTCTCCAAGCCAGGCTACGAGAAGCTATTGATCGCCTCCCAGGCTCCGTCTTTGCCCCCATGAAGTGATACTCCCTCCACCAGTCCGCAGGCTAGGCCCCTTCTGAGGAACGTTTCACACCCCGCCCGGCAGATCAATCGAGCCTAAGCCCGTCACCGCGCGGACGAGAATGCTAACAAGCACTCGACGTGACAAACTCCCGTTGGACAGCTCGGTGGCCTGACCCCCACATACGAACAAACGGCAGTCTGCAAAGAGAATGATGCTTGGCAACCCGAAGTGGCCGGTGCAGACCCCTCCGTTCCTTCCAAATGGCAGGACGCTCGAAAATCCCAGTCATGCAATCACAAGTCCCAAGTGGGACACACATAGAACAAGTGTCTTTCCCTTGGTGCACCCAACGCTTCCTACCCATTGCTCACAAATTTTCACTCAGGACAGTGTGTGCCACTCACCCCTAAATTCCATACATAGTGCCTGGTTCCTTTTCGTGAACATCTTCAAAGGTGAGCTAGTTTTCTTGGAGTCTAGCAACTCCCTTCATTCCCTTATCTTCGCTTGTGTGTCCGTTCATAGGGCAGGATTGTTTCTTCTCGATTACCGTTTGTGTTCATATGAGGTTCCTTCAAGCATTTAAGTGTGGTGCACGGAGCCCGCTGGGCTCCGAAGAGGAGAGAAGGCACCCAGGTCGGTCGGATCGCTCCGCCGCGGGATTTTCATTGGAACCCGGACTAGCCCGGAATCCCAACCGCCTGCGAGGTAACTGGAGCCCCTCTTACTCACGAAGAGGAAGGGTCGACCTGCGGCTTGCCCAAGGCTTCCCCGGCCTGACGAACATCAGTCCAAGGGAAGGAGGATTAGAGTCATCCTCCAAAGGAGATGGTT